TGGTCACGGTCACGGTCCTCCCGTTGTTCATCGATTTGCTCGAGCGGGCCCAGTAACGTCTCCATTGGAGACTTTGTTGTTACTGTGTCTGGCATATCGAATACGTCACGGGGAGCTTGCCAGGCTCTGCGGTGCGGGCGAGATACTCTTGGGAGCTTGCCGGGCTCTCCGAGAGGGGCGGAGGAATCGAACTCGACTAATAATAATAATAATAATAATTGATGGGATGGAGCGATAGCACACCGTTTGCCTTGCACGCAGCCGACCCGGGTTCAATTCGCAGCATCCCAGATCGTCTCCCAAGCACTGCCAAGAGTGAATCCTGAGTACAGAGCCAGGGGGAAGCCCTGAGCATTGCTGGGTGTGACCCAAAAAGCCAAAATCACTGTCACTGTCACTGTCCTCCAGTTGTTCATCGATTTGCTCGAGCAGGCCCAGTAACGTCTCCATCGTGAGACTTGTTGTTACTGTGTTTGGCATATCGAATACGTCACGGGGAGCTTGCCAGGCTCTGCCGTGCGGGCGAGATACTCTCGGTAGCTGGCCGGGCTCTCCGAGAGGGACAGAAGAATCAAACCTGGGTCAGCTGCGTGCCCTACCCGCTATGTGATCACTCCAGCCCAATAATAATAATAAAAATAATAACAGAGTCCAGATTTGCAGCCCATGTGGAAACAGTCCTGGTCATAAAACTAAATTTCCCGTTTCCAACAGCAGCAGTCCTAACAAATCCTTCGACTTGTACTTGCCTAAAAAGAAATAAAAAAGGAAAGTCACCTCTTTTATCCATTCAAAATATTTTCTTGTTCTGCCAACTTGAGACTTTGGGTCTGGCTGGAGTCTCGCTGTGCCAGGGGGCCTGTCTGGCCTCCAAAACGGGGGCGGCCCCCCGAGCCCTCAGCCGCTCCGGGCTGTTTTTCTTGCTCTATTTAAAACGGCAATAAAAACCATGTTACATCAAGGAACAAACTTTTAAATCACGAGGACGGGCGAAAAAGATCATTTTCCCGTCACCCCCATTTGAAGCCCAGCGCCGCAGAGCCCAACTGTGGGAGCAAAACTCAAAATGAGTGAGAAGCAGCGAATCTGTGAGTCTGAGGCCTTTGAAGCTGAGACCCCAGCCCCCCCCCCCCCCCCAGGATAAAGAGGAAGCTGGAAAACTTTGTTCGGTCTTCATTTTGCCTTCAGGTCCCACCTGGCGATGCTCAGGGGTCCCTCCTGCCTCTGCACTCAGGAATCACTCCTGGCGGTGCTCAGGGGACCCTATGGGATGCTGGGAATCGAACCCGGGTCGACCGCGTGCAAGGCCAGCACTGTCACTGCTATGCTATCAGCCTGAACCCCTCAAGTTCTTTTATTCATTTATTTTTGCATTTTGGGTCACACCCGGTGATGCTCAGGGATTCCTCCTGGCTCTGCACTCAGGAATCACTCCTGGCAGTGCTCGGGGGACCATATGGGATGCTGGGAATCGAACCCGGGTCGACCGCGTGCAAGGCAAACGTCCTAGACCCAGAAACAGGGTTCTCGGGAGATTCTACGGCTCCAGGCTGGAACTTTATTTATTTTTTTTTGGTATTTACAGTTTTTCTTTTTTTTTTTTTTCTTTTTGGGTCCCACCCGGCGATGCTCAGGGGTTCCTCCTGTCTCTGCACTCAGGAATCACTCCTGGCAGTGCTCAGGGGACCATATGGGATGCTGGGGATTGAACCACTTACGAGGCAAAGGTTCTAGCCGCTGTACTATCACTCTGGCCCCTAAATTTGTCTTTTTGATTTGATTAAATTCCTCTGTGAGTTTTTTTCTTTAGGGTAGGAGGGGGCCACGCCCGGCGATGCTCAGGGCTGACTCCCAGCTCTGCACTCAGGAATCACTCCTGGCGGTGCTCGGGGGACCCTAGGGGATGCCGGGGATCGAACCCGGGTCAGCCACGTGCAAGGACAACGCCTTCCCCACTGAGCTGTCCTTTTATCTTGATCATCTACATATATTTCTGTCTGGACCCAAAAGCCCTGGGAAGGCCCCATCTGTGCATAAAAGCTCACGTACATTCTCAGATCATCAGAAGTGGGGTCTGGGTTTGAGTTGGGTTCCCGACCCCCGCCAAAAAGGCCAAGTTGTCTCAGCACCCGCGTTCACCTGCTTAGTTAAGTCTGAGGGGGTCCAGGACCTGGAGGTGCTGCTTGGATTAACTTTCTGCCCTGCCTGGGTCTGGATCAGTGTCTACACCGCAGCCCTTCAGCCTGGGACCTTCTGTGGATGTTTTTTTTTTGGGGGGGGGTCACACCTGGCAATGCACAGGGGTTATTCCTGGCTCTGCGCTCAGGAATTACCCCTGGCGGTGCTCAGGGGACCATATGGGATGCTGGGAATCGAACCCGGGTTGGCTGCGTGCAAAGCAAACGCCCTCCCCGCTGTGCTATCGCTCCAGCCCCTTTTCTGTGGATGTTTGTTTGTTTGTCTCATTCATTTCTGGTCTGTCCTTCCACATGCCCCAGTCCAGCTGCCGGGACGAGCATCCTGGAATCTTTATGAGGATGGCGTTCAGTCCAGCGGCTGGTTCGGGCTGAGACATCTGTCACTGGTGTCAGCCCAGCCGGGAAGGGGCGTCTTCCTCAACTCGCTTCCGTTGGCTGTTCTGTCTGTCGGCCAGGAATCACCCCTGGCAGTGCTCAGGGGACCCTATGGGATGCTGGGAATCGAACCCAGGTCGGCCGCGTGCAAGGCAAATGCCCTCCCTGCTGTGCTATCGCTCCAGCCCCTCTTCTGTGGATGTTCTAGGATCTTCCTGGCCTTGGTTCACGTTTGGGTCAAGTGTGTCCATCTTCTTAGCATCTTACGGCCTGCCCTGACCTAGAACAAATGAATCTTTTTTTTTTTAATAAATAGATTTTATTTGGAGGATTTTGTTTGTTTGTTTTGCTTTTTGGGTCACACCCGGCGATGCTCAGGGGTTCCTCCTGGCTCATGCACTCAGGAATCGCTCCTGGTGGTGCTCGGGGGACCATATGGGATGCTGGGAATCGAACCTGAGTTGGCCATGTTGGCTGCGTGCAAGGCAAACGCCCTACCGCTGTGCTATCGCTCCAGCCCCTATTTGGAGGATTTTTAAGGTGGGGGGAGAGAGAGAGAGAGAGAGAGAGAGAGAGAGAGAGAGAGAGAGAGAGAGAGAGAGAGAACAAATGAATCTTAAACCGTCCGAGTGAGGAGGGGGGTATATACTTCTCATTTGTCCTGGGGGTGTCTCTAAGATTTTTCTCTCTTTAGACATTTTTTTCTCTCTTTATAGTTTTTTGTTTGTTTGTTTGCTTGCTTGCTTTGGGGCTACACCCAGCGATGCTCAGGGGTTCCTCCCGGCTCTGCGCTCAGGAATCACTCCTGACAGTGCTCGGGGCACCCTATGGGATGCCGGGGATCGAACCGGAAAGCTTGGCTTCCTTTTCAGCCCCTTGGAGCGGTTTAGAAGCTGCAGCCCGGCTGGGAGGTTTGATTCAGTCCCACGAGTGACCTTGTCCTTGTCCTCACCCAATTTTGCCGTTTCTCCCCTCCGTGGAAATGAGGTTTCTGGTCTAAACGAGGCCGTTTCGGTCATCAAGGTTTCTACTGAAACCTTTCCTGTTTTATCTCGGCTTCTAAATTGGTTTGTGCCGAAGACTGGGGGTGGGGTGGGGGGCGGGGGGGGGGCAAGTCTCTTTGGAAAAAATCTCTCCTTTCCTTTTGCTCTGCTCTCTTCACCAGTTCCAAATCGGCTTGTTTTTGGCTTTGCCCTTTTTCCTAATTAAGTCTGTTAGTGCTGGGTCTGTTTGTTCTTTCATTTTAGAGCAGGGCTTTGTTTATACGTTGGGCTTGGTCCTCCCTCCCTCTCTCTCTCTCTCTCCCTCCCCTCCATCTCTTTCTCTCTTCCTGCTTCTGTATTATCTCCTTTTCAACATTTTTATTATCGTGTATTGATTTTCATCACAAAAACAAAAGGAAGTCTTACTTTTCCCGAGAGAAGGGGATGTTTATTCCTGCAAACAGCTTCGTTGCCACCATAGCGTGTTCTCACGTTTATATTTTGGGGGTTTTGTTTTGTTTGAGACCACAGCGATGCTCAGGGGTTCCTCCTGGCTCTGCACTCAGGAATCACCCCTGGCGGTGCTCGGGGGACCCTATGGGATGCCGGGGATCGAACCACTTACAAGGCAAAGTTTCTACCTGCTGTACTATCACTCTGGCCCCTAAATTTGTCTTTTTGATTTGACTAAATTCCTCTGTGAGTTTTTTTTTTTCTTTAGGGTAGGAGGGGGCCACCCCCGGCGATGCTCAGGGCTGACTCCTGGCTCTGCACTCAGGGATCACTCCTGGCGGTGCTCGGGGGACCCTATGGGACGTCGGGGATCGAACCCGGGTCGGCCGCGTGCCAGGCCAACGCCCTCCCCGCTGTGCTGTCACTCGGGACCCAAAGTGACATTGGACTTTCTCTTTGTTTGTTTGGGGGTCATACCCCGTGATGCTCAGGGCTCACTCCCGGCTGCTGTGCTCAGGGGACCCTATGGGATGCCGGAGCTCGAACCCGGGTCTATCCAGGGTCTTTCTACGTCATGTCTGCCTGGTTCACAGCACGTGGGTGGGTTTGACTTTTTGAGGTTTCCAGGCTGAACATGTGAGAAAGGTCTGAGGAAACACAGGCCAGAGGTGCAAATCTCCACAGCCCTGCGGGTCCCTGGGCTCAGGCCAGGTTGCTGGTCTGGAGGGCGGGCGGTGGGGGGCTCAGGGCTCAGGGCTCAGCTCTGACCTGGGCCCCTGCTGCCGTGCTCCTGGGGGCACCGCCGTCTGGCTGGGCAGTCAGTGGCTCCCGGATGTTCCCCAAGAGCTGCCCTCCTGCTGGCCCCCCGCCCCCCCCCCAGTCCCTCCCTCCCTCCCTCCCTCAAGGCTGGGATTGGCCAGAGGCCCCCCGGGGGCTGGGACAGCCGCCCTATATCCCCAGCAGCTGGGAGGCCTCGACAGTCACCGTCTGTCCCTCTGCTGTCCAGAACCGACCCACAGCGACTCAGACACTCGCCACCATGTGCAAAGGGCTCGCAGCTCTGCCCCACTCCTGCCTGGAAAGGTGACACAGGGGGCCCGGGCGGGTGGGGACGCAGGGGGGATGGCGGGGGAGGGGTGGAGACCGGCTGGGAATGCAGCTTAACCTGGCCAGGGTCCCTAACCATAGGCTGCCCATCCAGGGGTCCCTGACCAAGGGCTGCCTGTCCCGGGGGTCCCTAACCATAGGCTGCCCGTCCAGGGGTCCCTGACCATGGGCTGCCTGTCCTGGGGTCCCTGACTGCGGGATGCCTGTCCGGGGCCATTCTGACTGCGGGCTGCCTGTTCTGGGGGTCCGTGACCATAGGCTGCCTGTCCCGGCGGACCTTGACCACAGGCTGCCCGTACTGGGGGTCCCTGACCATGAGCTGCAGGCCAGGAAACTTCTGCCCCCTGGGGCTGGGTGCAGGGGTTTCCAGGGCAGCAAACCCCAAGCCCTTGCCCAGTGGCCGGGAGGGGACCAGAGGGCCTCCAGGCAGCAGTGGGTGGGCTCAGTGCCTCCCGAACTGTGTCCTCTTGCTCCGCGTGCGTGTCAGATGGCAGCGGCCTTTGTGGGGGTTTATTCGAGGCCCCTGAATGCAGCTGGTTCCCTTGGCTTTGGGGCTGGAGGGCCGGAAGGGGCCGAGGGGCCGGGGCTGGGGGCCACATAGGCTGGCACTGCCCTGGTCAGGCGCTGGCTGTGGCCCTGGACCTTCCGTGTGCTGAGCGTGTCCCCTGAGGGGGCGAGCCCGGGCTGAAGGCATCACCAGACCCTGAGCTCATATAGCCAGCTTGAAGGGACTTCCCACCACTCTCCTCCTGTTTCCCCAGCTTGTGGCCACCCCCGTGGCGTGGTGGAATGTGGCCAGAATCCGTGGCCACCCACTTTCCCGGAAGGTTGAGACTCGGGGAGCAATAGCACAGCAGGGAGGGCATTGGCCTGGCACGCGGTGGACCCGGGTTCGATCCCCGGCATCCCATAAGGTCCCCCGAGCACCGCCAGGAGTGATCCCCGAGTGCAGAGCCAGGAGGAACCCCTGAGCATCACCGGGTGGGACCCAAAAAGAAAATAATGATAATAATAATAATAATAAGGACACAGGACTGTGGCCAGTCCTGGGAGAAAAATGAGGGGGTGATCCCGGGGACAGGCTGTGCCCCCCGCTTCTCCTGGGCATGTGCAGGCTGGGGAGGGCGTGAATCTGGAGAAGGCACCGAACTGAGTGTCTCTGCTGCGTCTGTTTGCACCTTCGGGAACTTTCTCTGGCTTCTGGGTCTCCCGGCGTCTCCCGTGAGGAAAAGGCGACCCTCTTGGACCCTCCTGCAGCCTTCAGCCGTGCTGTCTGTGAGCACGGTGCCCCGAGTCCTTAGCCCCCTCCCCTCTGCACTCCAAGGCCCCCCGGAAGCTGGTGACAGCTTTGTCCTCCCATTCAAGTCTCCATCGCCTGATGCCTGGGCCCCCGGGGGCCCCTACTGGAACACAGCGGGGTCCTTGGTGCCCCCTGGCCTGCGGGGTTGTGAGTCCCAGGGTGCGTCCACCTGTCCGTCCGGCTCCTGTGGGTGCCCCAGGCTGCAGCTCTGACGCTGCACTCTGCACCCAGCGACCGTGCAGGAGTGGCCGTCAGCCGTCAGCACTGTGGGAAGCGCCTGTTTAGTCTGGAAAGTTCCAGGAAGGCGCTCAGTGCTCGGGAGTCTGAGCCCGAGTGTCCCGGCTGTCCAGTCCCCTGTGTTGTTGTGGCCACACCTGGCAGGATGCAGGGGGGTGCCCGGGTCCTGCCCCAGCCCAGTGGAGACCCACCTGCGCCCGTCTCTTTAGCCTGGATTTTGCTTGTTTGCTTGTCAGTGAAGCAAAGGATTGTTGTGTGTGTGTGTGTGTGTGTGTGTGTGTGTGTGTGTGTGTGTGTGTGTAGCTTACTTCTTTGTATCCTCAAAGAGGGTTGTTTGTTTTGGTTTCTTTTTGCTTTGGGGGTCACACCCGGCGATGCTTAGGGTTTATTCCTGGCTCTGCACTCAGGAATGACTCCTGGCAGTGCTCGGGGGACCTTATGGGATGCTGGGAATCGAACCCGGGTCGGCCGCGTGCAAGGCCAACGCCCTCCCCGCTGTGCTATCACTCCAGCCCCGCAAAGTATAGTTTTATTGAAGGAAATGCACTTAGGGAAATACAGGAAGGAGAGAGAGGGAGAGACAGAGACAGAGAGAGACAGAGACAGAGATAGAGAGAACAGGAGGGAGAAAGGGAGGGAGGGAGGGAGGGAGGAGGAGAGAGGAGAGCGTGGGCTTCCCTGGAGGGGGCAGGCGGAGGCGGTTTCCTAGCTCTCATGGACAGGACAGTCCCTCCGGGGTCACCCCGGGAGGGCCGTGGGCTCCTGGTGGTCCCTCCGTGTTCTCGTGCGATTTCCGGTTTCTGGTAAATGTAGTTTCGCCCTGCTCTGGGTTCAGCCCCCCGCCCCGCTGCACCGCGCCCCCCACTAGCCCATCTGGAGGGGCCGGGAAGGTGGGATGTCACTGCAGGGACCCCAGCGCGGGCGCCAGGCTCTCACAGAATCGTGCCCTCGCTTATGTATGTGGGCCCCCAGTCTACGGCCCCCCAAAAGTCCGGGCGGGGAATTTCTTTGCCAGACTTGGAGTCCAGACCCATCAACTTGCCCCCCGACATCCAAACCAAGGGAGTGTGTCTGCGCTGAGGGGGACCCCGGTTTTGGCCTGGGGGTGCTCTGGGGCGGGGCCCGCCAGCTTCACAGGAGCAGAGACGCCCACGAGTGCTTCTGTGCTCCTCGTCTCCCCCTGAGCCTCGTCTCCCCGCTGGCGCCCGGGCAGGTGGGGGCCCCCCGCCCCGGGCATCCCAGGAAACCCGCACCCCACGCTGGAGCACGCAAGGGGCGCAGGGACGCTGATCCCAGCAAGGTGTCGCCCCCCCACACACACGCACACAGACTTTCTGCGGCTCCTCTCTGGGCATCAAGGGAAGCTCAGAGAAACGTTTAAAACGGAGCCTGTTGTGTCGGGCTGTGGTCTCTGGGGGTCCCCGAGGCGTGGGACCTAATGACCCACGTCAGGCCGCCCTGCAGCCGTGCTCGGGGCCCCTTATGTGGACTCTGGACATCTCCAGTAACAAGCCTCAGGCCTGGGTTTGCTTCCAAGTGTCCGACTCCCCCCCCACCCCACTCCCCGACCCCCACCCCCGTGCCCGGGCACGATGTCACTTGGAACAGACTCATCTTCCGGGTTTAAATTGCTCTCTGGCTTCCATCCTGAGGACCCCCCGAAAATCCCCCCCTTAGCCTTAGTCTCCTCACCCGCCCACCCACCCACCCCAGCACAAAAGGGGTCTGGTGGCAGAGTGGGGTGTGTGTGTGTGTGTGTGTGTATGTGTGTGCATGCGTGTGTGTGCGCATTCATGTGTGCTTGTGTGTGTGCGTGTGTGTTTATGTGTGTGCGTATGTATGTGTGTGCGTATGTGTATGTGTGTGTGCGTGTGTGTGCATGTGCATATGTGTGTGCGTGTGTGTGCGTGTGTGCATGTGTATATGTGTCTGCATGCCTGCGTGTGTGTGTGCACACATGCATGTGTGTATGTGTGCATGTGTGTGTGCGTTCATGTGTGCGTGTGTGTTTGTGTGTGTATGTGTGTGCGTATGTGTATGTGTGTGCGTGTGTGTGCATGTCTGTGCGTGTGTGCATGCGTGTGTGCATTCATGTGTGTGTGCGCATTCGTGTGTGTGCTATGTGTGTGTGCATGTGTGTGTGTGTGTGTGTGTGTGTGTGTGTGTGCAGATGGCAGGGCCGGAGCCCGCATGGTCATGAGCCACGTAGGCTGCCGTCTCATGAAATAATTAGCGGCATCAGGACCTAGAACAGGCCAGAATCGCAGTCGCAGCTGGGGACTGGTGGCGAGGGGGGCCAGCCCAGGCCCTGGCCCACATCAAAGCCTCCTGAGGGGCCTGGAACTCGTCCTCTCCCCTGTCACAGCACTGGCGCAGGACCAGGGTCACCCCGGCAGCCGCTTCCCTCGTGCCTGATAAAACAGGCCCTGCCGCGGGTGTGTTGGTCACCGTCACGTAGCCCGTTGGAAGTGGGGCCGGCCACGTTCCATTCAGCCCCCGCCGCCCTCGCCCCCGTGAACTTTAACCTAGGAGGGATTTTAAAAAAAAAAAAAACAGTTTCACTTGTAAAATATTTATTCTTGGACCAGGAGGTGGGGAAGCCCTGGGTCCCGTCCCCAGCACCGCACGCCCTGCCAGGCCCTGACTGTTTCCTGGCCCAGAGACACCGTCCCAGGAGGTTTGGAAGGTCAAGGTGGTCTTCCAGGAGATGGACTGGATTCCCCGTTGCCCTTTGACTAGGCACCAGGGGGGTGGTTGGGGGAGATGGGCGTGACCGCAACCGAGTGGGAACTCGGAGCCCAGGGGCTGGGACGAGATCCGATCTGGGACGACTCTGGACACATCACCCAGCACTTCCGAAATGTTGACTGGGGGCACTTGCACCTCTCGCTGGGCCAGTGTGAGTGACCCACAGCTGGCCATCTGCTTTGTCCCGAGCCGGTGTTGCCACCGTCGCCTTCAGGGGGAAGCCGCCAAGCCCCAAGACGGTGCCCCAACCTCCCGGGTTCCAGGGGAGGCCCCCAGTAGGGGGGCACCATGCAGGTCTTGAGAAGTCAGTGGATTTAGAAACAAAGGCACGAGTCCATAAAGAAGATGGTTCTGGAAGGCAGAAAGCCAGGGAGCAGGACGTGACAGTATTGCGTTGGGGGGAGAAGAGGTGTTGGAAGCCCCGTTTCCCGGTTTCCACTCTGCACCGCCCTCCAGGTGGACCGCGTGCTCCCATCAGTCGAGGAAGGGAGTGCACGGTGCTCTGATTTGGGCAGGGAATGAAGGCACGTGCTCTGATTGGGCGAGGGAGTGAAAGCACGTGCTCTGATTGGTAGAGGGTGTTGAGCACATGGGTTCTGATTGGGTGAGGAGATTGAGTGTGCTCTGATTGGGCGAGGGAGTTGAGTGTGTTCTGATTGGGCAAGGGAATGAATGCACGTGCTCTGATTGG